GTCTATCGGAGTTCCCGGAGGAACGACTGGGACAATGTTTATGCCATTTGAAGTTAATCTGGAATTCTATGACGCTGAACGGTGTGCAGTCGACATGATGGTCTCAGCGAGAAATGGTGGCGCAAATGAATTTTCAGAGGTACTTCTTGTCCGCCTAATTTCTAAAATATTAATTTTTTACGCCATTCCCAAGCACACCGTAAATAGACAACTTGCTCCAGCCTGCCCATTTGAAAAAGGCTGTTAAGATTATCGAAGTAGTAGAAGTTCTTCTGATATTTACGATCAAAACCCCTTTTAATAGTTTCTGTAGAGTATCCTTTTCCATTTCAAATACTCAGTTATCACTCTCATGTGGACGTCAATCCATCGGTTAACGTACCCAATAATTCAAGCCTTGATGCATCTCACGATTGTTTCGATTTTTTTTCTGAGTGCTGCCGTTCTTAAGTTCCTTCGGATAGTGCGACGATGCTGTAGCTAAAAATATGTTTGATAACCAATCGAAAAGATGGCGCCTGATCGGATTTATCACTTATGAGACACCGTATTATTTTGGCAAGAACACTACCCAAACAATAGTTAAGGTTTGGTGGCTGTGGTTATTCATTAATTTGAAACATGGATTTTCACCTCAAGGCTATTTTGAAGGCAATGTACATGTCCACGTTTAATCGTCTTCCTATAACGTCTGGAGAAACTATTAGGTAATGGTAACGACTACTGTTTTGTCCCATCCATTTTTGAGTACTTATAAATGTTACTCTCGTGAACGTGTCTGAAGTCCTTTTCGAAAGAAGCCCTGGTGTGTTTGGTGAATCTGCTTTCGTGGGGTCCTATTTGCTCTGTATCAGCTTGTAGAACCCGTTCCATGCCTGCAATTAAGGTGCTTCTCGTCGAAATGCGTCTGTTTTCTGGTAATAGGAGCCGTTAAACTCGCACAGTATTTGTGATTAGAAACAACTGGCAAATAAATTCCAACCGGACGCAATTTCTATCTTCAGCTATTTGTCGAGTAGTTATCAGAGCTTGAACGCTGCTTTGGCGGTGCAGTTTATAACTAGCCGCCGGATGATGTCTGGCATTGTAGAAATCGAGGAGTTAGCGAGTAACTTAATGTTGACTTTCGCCTTTACGGGAGGCAAACGCCTTTGGTTTACAGTTCCGTTCTTTATCATTCATAATTTTATTCATCATGCACACTTGCTTTTGGAGCTTTTGTCGTAAATGCAAATGGTTCTGCGAAGAGGGCATTAAGGCCGCCGCTCACTGACAAAGTTAACTAATTCAATAATGCGTTGCAATTTCTAACGCGTGCATCTTCAAGACGGTGGGCTAATAATGGTGTTGGGAATATAGATATATGTTCATAGTTCCTAACTTCCTTTATCCGTAATACAGATTTATGAACTTTTTTGACTGAAAACACAACTTACGCAAATAGCATTTGAAATGAAAGTAAAAACAGTAGGACGAAAAACGAAAACATGTTTTGAAATGTGTTTCTAGTTTTTATTCCGCTGTTGCGTTTTATTTGCATTGCCCATATTCATAAGCCACTACTATTTTTTAAACGTCGAAATTACAGGTTATTCTTACGATTTAGATGATCTATTTTATTGCATTCCCTGATGGCGGTGACCTATAAGAACTTGCTGTCCCAAATTGTTCAGGCTCACTGGTTGGCAGTGAGGAAGCTACGATACACGAGCATGAACAGGTTGTCCTCACCCTTTTCTCTCATTGCCAACCAAGAGGAAGTCAATATAATAAAAATACAAAACCAATTGCGGTCACGGCCCTGCATGAATACATCCCGTAACTGGCGCAGGTCCGGCACAATAACGCCATTTGCTTTTTACTTAAGATGGGGCACAGCATGCTAAGTGGGTATTTTATGCGCCATATCCGTTGGCTTATTCATGGCATCGGTACTTGCATTTAATTGTACCTGACCGATTGACGTACTGCATCTGGGCCAGTTCACTTCGAGGACCTTTCACATTATTCCTAGTTATTTGGCAAAGCATGTACGCAATTAATTAACTGATTACTCTGCGTGGTTGTGTCTAAAATTCATTCTCTTAGCTCAAGGTTCTATTCTTCAGCAGAAATCTAATGAACCCTTGCTGTGGTTGATCACGATACAGATAACCGAATTTTATGCCGCTCCCCTATTACCTTTTTACTAAGGTCATTTACTTCACAGTTTTTTGCATCTTTTCAATTCTGGTTTTCCTCCTTAGCGTTAAAATGACGTTCCCATATTTTCAAAAGTCCAGTTAACAGGTTTTAAATGTTGCCAAAGCTCCTGCATAATAAAAAATAATAAGCCATTAGCAGTTAACAATGAACCCTTTGCTTTTCTCATCATAAGCCAATTTAACTGAATGATTATTTTAAGTTTTAGATGTGAACTTTATCGTTTTTCTTTTTGCACATTCCGAATCGAAAACTTGAGAATAATCAGGAGCATTTTGCAGATCACTAATGATGTTAGAAGTGTAATGCCTTTGCTGTCCAACTGACCACGCTAGCGTTAGACGATGTTTGGTCAGATGTCGAAAAGATCAATCATAATGTTTTCTCAAATGTGCCTATGGTGGGTATTTCTGGGTATAGAAATTCGAGAATCTGTGAACCAAAGCTACTATCAATATTTCCTGAACAATCATCAACCGGCAAATGTAAATGCACTTCTCCTGGTTTCTTTCCTATGTTACCTGTATTTTTCACTTCCAGTTCCTGACAATCAAGGATGTTCTGCAGAGTCACAACAGCCCTTTGATTCAGCTTGTTGCCTTTTTAAATTATTGGTTTTTATGGTAATTTTTTGCGTTGAAGTCAAAAATCACATGAGATTCGTAAGCTACTATGAAACGTGTTACTATATTTGCGCCTTCAACTGTGGTCGATGTTTTATATTTAGACAACACAATCTTAATCACTTGAATATTGAATACCTTTTAAGTGACTTTATTTTTTCCTAGACAACGGACGACTTGTCGTATCTCTACAAGTTAACCGGCAGGCTGCTGGAGATGTTGGACAAAATCACCGCCACGGTAGACGATGTAATTGCAGGCAAACTACCAACTGACAACGAAACTGGTCTCGCCATTGCCCGCCTTCTTTTTGCAACACCCAAATTGGACTCGGACAACGTGGAGGAGTTGATTAGTTCCAGTTTCAAGGACCTCCTTATGGTTACCTACCTTACTGACCTTATACGTTCGCATATAAAGCTGCTAAATCTTGCCCATTGATTAGCCTTTGCGCACGTATTTTCGCTTGACTGATTCGCTACTTTCTTTTTTTCCACGAAAAAAGTGTACAGGAATCGGCTGGGCGTTGTCCTTGATCCAGAATCTTGGCCTTTTGGTCGTTCACTTTTAATACGGCTTTCTATTTTGTCTAATGGATTCGATTCGGGACTTTTTCAGATTGCCGTGGTTACGGGCAATCAACAATCGAGAGACTAGGCTTAAAAATTAAAGTACTTTGCACTTAAAATGTCTAAAGTGCTTGCATTGCCATTCAGCTATATCTACCAAATAAACCCGAGACTTACATTCAGTACTCAATGCTTGCGGTAAGTGTGCTGCTGGTTGACAATGACAGCGAAATAATATCACCTCTTGTCTTGGCTCTGGCTAGATTTGGGACTACAGAGATACTTTATTGGAATAGGCCAATTGAGCCGACTTCTCAAGAGTTAATCCGCTTCCATTATTGACTGCTAACTACTAGCCCAACCGATCCGATCTATTACAGTTAATTCTTTCCCTCCTCATGTTGGGCGTCAGCGTCTTAATAACGGTTAAGGAGGTTGATTGTTTTTGTCTGAACGGTTGATAAACAGTTTGTTCCCTGTTTATCATTGATACTTGAAGGTAAAAGGCGTCGTACGAACAGTAGCAAAATATGAATGGCAATAGTTTGCTGAAAAGATGTCTGCTGTTTATTGTACGGCCATTTTTAACCCCAGTACTTTATTTTCGTTTCGAGAAATAGGCCGACGTCTAACGTACCCAAACCTTATTAATAAGCCAAGAAAAGGTGCAACACGAAAGGGATTTTGGACGGAAGTCAAATTTGTATTTGTTACTCGAATGCTGTGAAATGCAACAGCAATCTTTCAAATAATTGAAATTAAGTTCCAGAACCCCCGGACACGTGAGTCTCTAACAGATTTTAATACAAGTACTCTGGGAGGTATGCCCTGTGTATCTGATTAGTAGGATTGGTGGTTCGGTGAACCATACCCTGGGCCTACAGCTAAAGCTCTCTATACTCCAGAATGCTAGAATAAACCAACAGACCAGAGTCAATAGGGTGAGCCGGTCAGTATCTGCTCTCTTTGCTTCTTGTGTTCGTTCACTGTAGTTTGCTGTCAGGCTTTCAGATGTAGGCAGAAGAAAAAGAGCACAACACTTTTTATACTTGAAAAGGCCAAGGGTGGCAGGCACTTGTTGGAAATATATATTGTTGTATCGGAATTGTCCGTCAAATTGTCTATCGTCATGTTCTCCCTTC